TCTGTCTCTGGTGAATCCTCTCACTGCCCCTGCACCTCTGGCCTGTACCCCAGTTCTATATGCACAAATAAATAAATCTTAAAAAAAATAAGGAAGACATCAAGCAGAATAGAAAACTGGAAAATAACTGCTCTAAGACAATGTTTACATATAGGAAAAATAAGAAACTTTCAGAATACTTGAAACTAGTGGTAAGTTGCACCAAAATGAAAAAATTACAACATAGCTCAACTCCAACTTAAGCTACAGGTTGCATCACCTCAGTCCCAGTTCTACTGGAAATATAGGAGAAGGTATGTGGTCATTTTGGGGGGAAATATTATCTGATGTATTATTATGGAAAATGTCCCAAGACAGTAAAAAATAGCAAGAAACACATTCATACACACACAAGGAAACATAACCCATGATCAAGAAAGAAAACTATCAGTAGAAGTTAACTAAGACATAGTCTGGATTTTAGAATTATCACAGTGTAACAATATTAAAGGATTAAAGGAAAAGGTAGACATGATATGTGATGATATGGTAACTTCAGAAAAATGACTGAGTATATAAAAAATGGACATGCTGAAAATAAAAAAAATACAGTATCAGAAGTACGAAAGTAAATGGGGTTAACATTATTAAGTTGGACAATACAAAGGAAAGAAACTTGGAGACATAAATAAGAAGCAAATTGAAAGAAAGAAATAAGAAAAATAAAATAGATTATTTGAGATGTATGGAACAATGGCATATCTCATTTTGTATTGTTGGGAGTAATAAAAGGAGAGGCAAAAGATACTGGTAGAAAAAATATTCAGAGAGATACTAGATGAGAATTTTCCAAAGCTAATGAAAGATATCAACTTACAGGTCCAAGAATTATAGCCAACATGATAAAGAGTAAATACAAAGGAAACCACACTTAGGTACATCGTAGTCAAAAATCTGAAGACCAGAATTAGAGAGCAGATCTTAAAGACAGCTGGGGGCAGGGAGGAGATATGATGTACAGGGAGCTAAAATATGAACTACAAATGACTTTTAATCAAAAATAATGGAGACAGAGATGAAATGACATGCTTAAAAAGCCAAAAGAAAAAAAAATCTGTCAACCTAAAATTTTATATACAGTGAAAATTATCCTTCAAAACTGAATGTGAAATAAAGACATTTCACCCAGACAAAAAGCAGTGAGACGTCATCTCCAACAAACTAGACTATAAGAAATGCCAAAAGAAGTTCTTTAGACCAAAGAGAACTGATAAGATGAAAAAGTGCTGGAAAGGACAAATATCTGGGCTAGTTAAAAAATGACATATAGTTTACTACCTTCACTATATATATATATATGTATGTATGTATGAATATATATATTTCTATATATATATCTATATATAGTTTTTAAAGTATCAATCCCTTCAATATGTAGTAGGCAACATCATAAGTGATGGAAGAAATATAAATGGCATTAGGCTGTTGTAAATTTCTATCTACTCATAAAATAGAGTACTATTTGAAGATTGATGGTGATCATTCAATATATAAATTGTAATTTCTAGAACAGCTACTATATTTAACAGAAAGAACAAAGCTAGAAAGGAAATCTAGGAATTTAAAGGGAATGAACAATATATTTAATTTACTCCCTCACAAATTCAGGAGATAGTAAACAATGGACAAATGAGAATGAATGAATGAAATGAACTTCTCTCAACCACTGTTCTTGAACATTGACTGGATTTGGAAATTAACTTTTGCTGCAGATAATGATTTTCATGAATTCAGCCTCAAACTACAATGCAAAACAGAAGCTATCTGTGAAGCTTACACTGTAGTTGAATCATTTTGACACTACTAACATTATTTGAATCACAAATAATACCAAGCCGTTTTATACGCTTCCCATGCTGTCAAAAGTTAAAAGAAGCAAGCTCTTCATTCCAACACAAATTTACAGTAGTTATGTTTTTCTGAACCGAAACTATACTTCCAACAGTGGTTTTGGATTTTAATGCAAACGAAAAGGAAATTTCCATATTTAAAACTCACTTAACTGCAACTGAGGTGTTCCACTTAACCTTCAACTGGAAATGATTAATCTGCAAGTTGTTGGCATGCTAAGGGAGAAATGGCAAGAGAACTGATAGAATTCTAATAGAACGATATAAATGCCTTCTATGAATTACATAAAATCGTATCCTGATGGATTGATATATTTGGCAGCACCTACCTGGGTGAAAAGAATTGTGTAAAATCTCATTACAGCTCAATATTCAATTTTGATAATAAAAAACACTTTGAACTGGGATTCAATTAAGAGGAAACCCATGCTCCCCTACCCCTGCAAAAGAAGAAAAAGAGTTTCATTCTCATTATTAGATCAGTATCACAATTGTGATATTGTAATTATTATTACACTTACATTTGTTGATAAAAAATTATGAAGAGTTGTTTTCTCTTTTGCTATGTATCTACACCATGACCTCACTTTTGCCTCTGTGAGCAAAGCCAAAATAACCTTAATATCCGCCCCTTTCCAGATAGAAATTGCCAATTCTTTTAAATGCAGTGCTTAGTTGCCACAGTTGCACTTGTATATTTTTTTCTGGAACCACAGACATTCTGATTCAAACACTACTTCCAGAGTCACTTTGAGAAGCTAAGGAGGAAATAGGAAGTTGAGAGTTAATTCAATCCCGAGGTTAAATAATTGCTAGCTAACATCAACCGAGCACATATATGTGGCAAGGTAAACAAGCACGTCGTATATTTTTGATTATTTAACACAAGAATCTTCCACAAAAGGTGTCCCACCCCTATTTTGCAGAACAGAGTGAGTTGATCATACTGAAAGATGATGTTGCTAAGTAATTTAGAGGTTTGTAGGTTTAGGCTTTAATCCAGCAATGGGGCATTCGGACAATATTAGCAAAAATTAGTGGACAGGGGAAGGGCAATAGACAGTTGTTGGGTGGGGGAGTGGACAGAGGTGGTTAGAGGGGTTGGTGTGGCCATAAGATTCTAGGACTATCAATGACGCAACTGCTGAGGTCCCTGGGAGGCTGACCGAACTCCATAATGCCATCGCCTCAGCCACAGGACTCTTTCCCATCTCAAGTTCCTTGGAACAGAGCACTCTTCCGATCAATGTGTGAAAAAGTACGGGCACATTTATTATGTGGAGAGGTGAAGGGAAAATCTGTAGGGTGGGCACGATCTGAGAGACCCTATATGCAAACATACAGACAGTATGTGCATGTTTATATGGGTGTATACATTTGTAGCATCATTCACACCCATACTAAATTCCTACGTGGGTATCAGCGGGGCTTAGCGTGTAAAACACGATGACACCGTTCTCAGTCTTCCGCGGGGGTCACCAGAGCATTTCAGGAGAGCGTGAATAACAATAAAGCTAACAGCGAGATCGGCCCTCAGGTACTCAAAGACAGAACCCTCAGCCCGGCCAACTTCCTCTCAATTGTGTTTTCCACCTCCAAATTCCTCCCTCAGCAGGACCCCGGGGTCCTCCCAACGGCCAGTGGCGGCCTTGACCCGCGGTCCCGGGGCGGGGTATTCTCCTCTGGAACGCGTCCTGTCAACTTTGTAGTCCGGTCACCCATTTCGGTTGGTCGCGGCCGCTATTTCTTTAAATGGACAGCGGATTTCGAAACGGGGAGGAAGGGGGGTCAGGAAGGGAACTCAACCGCCTTCGCTAACTGCCCGGCGGCCTCCAGTCCCCAGAACGCGTGCTTGGGGGGAAGCGCCCGCGGCCGCCGCCTCCCCCAGCGGGCGCGCCGGCGCCTGCTCGTTTCGGGGTGCCCACCTTCCCGGGGAATCCCCCCACCCGGCAGGGCCCCTGCGTCCGCGGCCGCCGGGGCTTTGTCTCGGGCGTCGCGCTCGGGCGCCCGCTCTCCCCACAGTTCCCGGTGCGCAGGCTGTAACCCGATCCCCCATTTCCTGGTGGATTCTCTTAAAGAGGCAGCGGTCGAGAAGCAGAACAAAGGCTATTGTTTTATTTCCTCCTGTGGATTCCGCGTCCTTTACCGGAACGTCCTTTCCTATATCATTATTTTCATCGCCCCGGCGCTGCAGGGGGTGGGGAGCGGGGAAAGTCACTCGTGTGCATTTCGGTATCTGTGGGAGCCGGAGCTAGGGAAGGTGGGAGGCGGGTAATAAACCCGCTTTGTGGTCCCGGGGGCCCCCCACGGAACGCTTTTGCTACGTGTCTTCCTGCAGCCC